GTGAATCATTTCTAAAATTCTATTCCTAAGTATGTATAAGGAGAGAGTTCACTACAACAAAGGTCAGCACAGCCTTATTCCTAAACCCAGTTTACATGCTCCTACATACTTAAGGGAAGCTTGTGGTTAAACTTTAGGTTACAGAGGTGTCACGTCTGACAAAAAAATCATAGGAGTGACAGACACCTTTTCAGAAAAAAAGAGAAAAGGGAAGTGAAGAGAGAAAGATAATTTCACTCGTGTGCCATATATTTGTGTTATCCTTTGTCTGGATTACTTAACATATCAGGCTTCTCATTTACACTGTTCTTGTGCAATGGAAGAACCCCAACTGAAGTGAACAGTTTCAGGATACTGAAAACTGATGCAACAGCCTTGACTTTAAAATGTAGCAAGAAATGAGAGTGAGAGGGCTTGATATAAAAAGTTTTATTTCCCTTTAATTTCTACTTAAGAAAAAGTCACACAAAACTTTTACCACTTATCGCCCCATGAACTATTATTTCGTTGTACTGAGGCCCACTTCCACAAATTTTTAGAGGCATTTTATAATCTGAGATTGTAAAAGATTCTCTAGCTACTTAACTGAGCTTTAAGGTTAAAGAATAGCTCATATTTGTTTAGGCAGATCTTTTTCCCAAAGTCTATCATCACCATTATTATTATTTGTCTGAACAGAGAAGCCTAGAGGCTGCAGCTGACATTAGGTCCCCTACTGGGGTTGCAGCACCTAGAAAGTAATATCTTTCTCTCAATACTTTATAACCCAAGAAAAGATCAGACAGTCTGGAAGGTTTAATAGGCAAACAGAAACAAAATGAGAGCCAAGTACAGCCAAGAATTGGTCACAGGGGATACAAAAAGTGCCAAGCTGTTCGCTTCCCTGCTGATCAGGAGCAAGCAGGGTCCCTCCACCAACCAGCAGTGGGTGGATTGGGGTGGGGGGGGGGCATGCAATGTGCTGGGGAACCTGAAAGATTACGATTAAAACCCAGTAGGGCCCTATATATTATGTTCACTTCATTGCCAGCAGTATTCACGTGGCCCCAGCATGCAGACACGCACACCTGAGAGTGTCACAGTTCCATTTTCTTCAGCATTCTCTACCCTGGTAGCGCTATGCACATAATGTAGTCAGTATCCATATCCGGCAACCTGTGCATATAACTAATCTGCTTCACTGGGTGAAACATGCTGCCTGCTGTTCCACCTGCTGATGTTGCGGAACAACAGGCAATGTCTTCTCCTGAGGCTTTAGGGGCCCAGTCCTGTGTAGCTTGGGAACTGCTGTATAGGATTGGGTCCTTCACACTCTGGGAGTGCCTGCCTGGTTTTCCCTGCTTACCAGGATATGGTCTCAAGATCTCGAGCATGTTTAGGCAAGTAGGGGAAACTGCAGTGTTCCTTGCTTACCTAGATACACTCTGGAGATCACAGGGACACGTTTCAGTAAGTGGAGAAAGCTAGGCAGGTGTTTCCAGGGCTTGCGGGGCCCTATCTTGTGCAGGAATCTTCTGCTAGTGTGTGAAGGATCAGGCCCCTCAAGTCCCCAGGCCCCTGTCTGATGTGGCTGAAGAGTGTGGGCAGCTCTGGGCTGCCTGTGCTCTCCTGCCAAAAAGCAAATAGATGTCTGCCACTATGAAGTCATACAAATTATTACTACCTACTGCCACATCCACAACATTTTTACCACAGCACAAAGGCAATGCCTGTTTCCACCCTACACACAAACACACATGTAATGGATTCAAAAAGGGGAGGAGCTACTGATTGGGACCATGCAGCAGCTGTTATGCTGCAACTTGTGTGTGCAGGAGCCTGCAGTGATGCATGCAAGCTAACTTGCTTCACAATGACCTTGGATGAAGCAGGGTTACAGATGGAGTGTTTATGCTATATTTGTAAGGCAGACTCATGCCCACATAACAGTTATAGTGTAACAGCTGAACAGCAACTCCCCTTTTGAAGCTGCTAGGAGCATACATTGTCCGTATTTGTCTGATTTTACCATAACCTGAGCAGCCCTTCTCTATCGCGATGAAATGTAGAAAGAAATCAGTACTATATTTGACACATTCATTACTTCTGTTCTAAGTATCCCCATTTGATTTCTCACAGTTCATGCAAGCAGCATGCAACTAATCCTTGTGTACCTGAATGCAATATTGAATACTAGAACTACAGCAGTAGTCAGAGATGCCAACACTAGATAGTAGGGGCGCACCAATAAGAGTATTTTGGGGCCGATACTGATGGTCGATTTTTAACGAGCCATATTGGCCGATACCGATCTGATTCCGATATGCCGATTGGCAGCTTCGA